CATCCTTGTGACCAGCAGTCTAGTGCTTGAACCTCAGAACCACCAAACTAAAACTAAATCACTGCTATCATGTTAATTTCCACTCAGATGACCCTACACGGCAGGGTAGAACTGCCCCTGTGGGTTTCTAAGACTCTTTATAGACATTGAAAGCCACAGCTTTCTCCCAAGGAGCAGTGAGTGGTTTTGAACTACTGACCTTGTGGATAGGAGCCCAGTATGTAATCACTGTGCCTCTGGGGATTACCAAGGCTCCTTAATTCTAGGACTGCCCAACCGATTGCTGTTGAGTGTATGCTGACTCATAGTGCACTCCAGGGCAGGGTACCTGTGCACGCCACTGGGTTTGCGAGATATAGGTCTTTGTGGGGGCAGACAGCCTTAGCTTTCTCTCCTGGAATGGTTGGTAGAATCAAATGCCTGACTTTGTGGTTAGCAGCCCAAGGCTTAACCCTCTGTGCCACCAGGACTACTTCCTCACGCTCCTTGCCACTGAGTCATAGTGGCCTTACAGGATGGTAGAACTGCACCTGTGTTTCTGAGGCTGCAAATCTTTACTGGAGCAGAAAGCCCCGTCTTTCTCCCATAGAGTAACTGGTGGGTTTGAACCACCAACCTTGTAGCTAGCAGCACAACACATCACCCACTGTGCCCTCAAGGCTGCTTACTGCCCTTCTTAATTCTTCATATGCATATAAATCACCCAGAGATAAAAAAAAAATTAGATCCTGATTTTGTGCATCTGGGGCGGGGCCTGAGATTCTGCATTTCGGACAAGCACTCAGGGATGCTCCGGCACTTGGACTGCTTTGAGCACCTTGCATCGGTAACCCTCCGTTTCCCTCTGAGGAACAGGATTCTACAGTAGGGGGTGCCCTGGCCAGCTGATTTTGTAAAGATATTTTGTCCATTGGGCAAGTTTTGTTCTCACGGGTCTTTGATTTTTTTATGAATTGCAGATTCAGGTTGCTCAGAAAGAAGGCTTTAGAAAGGTTTTCATTATAGGAAAGCATCAAATTAAGGCTTACTTGATATGTTGACAACATAAAATGAAAGTACTGTCAATAGTTATAGATTATGTTTTAGGTCCTATTTATTGAACCGATGACTCAAACAAATATTTTATATACATGAAAACCACCCGCACAAATGGCTTGATATATTACGTTTTTGAGACGAGGATAGTGTTGTCTGAAGTCTGTTCAAAAGACTTGTGATGAGTGGACTCAAGCTCAGTTCGTCGTCAACACGCACATTCCTTCATGCGGT